GTGGGTGAGTGAACGTGTTCACGTGGGTGAGTGAACGTGTTCACGTGGGTGAGTGAACGTGTTCACGTGGGTGAGTGAACGTGTTCACGTAGGTGAGTGAATGTGTTCATACCATGTGCAGTGTTCATATGTGTGAGTGATGTGGTCAATGGAATGTTCATTGTTAACAGTATATATATCTGTACACAGTATACATGTCTCTTCAAAGTATTTCTATATAAATCTGATCACAGTATTCATGTGTTCACGGTATATGATCATATTTCACACTTACAACATTGGAGCATACATTCGATCCACCTACACATCCGGCAGCCTCCAGGTTATGGGTTGAATTAACCCCATCGTCCCCCACTCAGGAGTACAAGCCCTACACAGCCCTCGACATCCCCAAGGACCTGCGGGTGACCCTCCTCTCTAACGTTCCCAACCCCTACGGGGTCCTGCAGTCCAAAGGTGGGGAGTCACGGGGTCTTGCGGTCCGAATATGGGTGTCACGGGGTCTTGCGATTCAAAGGGCGCGAGTCATGGGGTCTGGCGGAACAAAGGTTCGAATCACAGGTTCTGCGGTCCAAAGATGGCGGAAGGGATCTTGTGGTCCAAAGGTGGGGTAGCCACGAGGCCCTGCAGTGCAAAGGTGGAGGAGTCACAGGGTCTTGTGGCCCAAAGGTGGCGGAGGGAATCCTGCGGTCCATAAGTGGGAGTCCCGGTGTCTTGAGGCTCAAAGTTGGGGCGTCACGAGGTCCTGTGATGCGAAAGTGAAGGAGCGTAAATATGTAACATATTGGTGCGAAAATAGCAACAATAAGTTAGGTTATGAAATAGAAAATACCAGTAAAAACCCCACGCTGTTTTAGTCAAGAGGAAGGATACCTGTGAAGTCCCCTGGGGAGGAGCGGGGACGATCCCAGGGACTCGGGATGATGGTTTAAGGCTGCCCAGAACTCATTATAAAATAATACATTAGACCTGCGTGTACAATACATTATGAAATAGGGTAAAATATACAGATACTAAAATATCTATGATCGTACAATTAGACTTTGTCTGCCAGCCCAGCGACGGGTGAGTCGCAGCTGTGCTCGTTGTACTCGGTGGTAGTGGCGCTGTTATAACCATACTACAATATCTAATAGCGTACAATAGATATGCTACAACAATATCTACTAACATACAATATTTATACTACTGCAATATCTATTAGTACTAATAAGACCCGCCCCCAGCTACGGGGGAGCCCCCGCTGTGCATGTCGTACGCGGTGGTGGGGGCGCTGCGCCAGGCCATCGCGGCCGCCAGGGCGGACGCCGGCACCCGCGGCTGGTTCGAGATACGTGAGTTCTATACAATAAATTACAATTAATTTAGTAACAACAATAATAAGGCTTGATCTTGGCAGACACGAGATAAATTCAATGAGAAGAGGAGTTTTGTATTTGCCTAAAAGCGTATCTCATTCATAGCCATGTACATTGACATAGCTTCTTTTTGGCTCTATAAGCCAAGAAGTGTGACTTCTATTTAGGGACTCCGGTCCGAAATGTCACTATTGCCATTTGATAAAGAAATGATTTACTTTTTGTGAAGAAATTATAGACTTTTCATGAAGCAATTATTTACCTTTTATATCAAAATTATTTATTTTTAGTGCAGTAAGTAAGTAATAAATTTAAAGTAATTGATTTATTTACTAGCTCTGCCGCTGACGGTCGAGCGCATCCAGCAGCTCTGCCTCACCGACGCCTCAAAGTTCGAACTCTGAGGCCACAGCCCTGACACTTGCGGTGATCCTGAGTGATGTGAAGATCCTGAGTGATGTGGAGATCGTGAGTGATGTGGAGATCGTGAGTGATGTGGAGATCCTGAGTGATGTGGAGATCCTGAGTGATGTGAAGATCGTGAGTGATGTGGAGATGTGTGGTGTGAATATCCTGAGTGATGTGGAGATCCTGAGTGATGTGAAGATCGTGAGTGATGTGGAGATCCTGAGTGATGTGGAGATCGTGAGTGATGTGAAGATCGTGAGTGATGTGAAGATCGTGAGTGGTGTGAAGATCCTGAGTGATGTGGAGATCGTGAGTGATGTGAAGATCGTGAGTGATGTGAAGATCCTGAGTGATGTGAAGATCGTGAGTGATGTGGAGATCGTGAGTGAACGAATCTTGCGACGTCGTATCACTGTTATAGCGAGACACGTAATCATTATTTCGTCAGTAACGCGTACGTTTGTGCACAATTCTGGTAAAAACAACACTGAACTAAGCAAAAATAACACAAAATTGAAGGTACAATATTGATTTACTTGATGCAGGACATTTAGATCCACTGAAGCAATTATCATTGACTAATTCTGTTTTAGTGCCGTTTTATTGTGTTTATCGAATTAAAGCAAGCTTTCTTATTTTATATATTATTAAACTAGTAACTGTTATTGCTTATGTTAGTGCTTACATGAGCTAGTGCTCATCACAAGCCTAGTGCTGCTGAAATAGACTTAGTATATAGTTGAGGGAAGTAGTGTCACTCAAGCATTGTTGTAACCTGTGGTCTGACATGCAATGCAAAAAGTATATACGCGAGATTATTCCAGCCATAAACTCGAAGAACCGAGCGAGCCTCTATCTGAAAAATATAACTCAGTACTCACTGCAGTGAGTGACAGAGAGCGCATTTCTCGTCGACGAAAACTTGAGGTCACGGACAGACGGACGGACAGACGGACGGACAGACAGACAGACGGACATGGCGAGCACAATAGTGCATTTTTTCCATAAATGAGAAAGTGCGCTAAAAACTATTCATGTTTTGCGCTGGTGTGTGGATCATCCTGACACAGTTTTTTGCGGAAAATTGGCATATGAGTGTTATTTAAAGAAGGTGTGTCCTATTTTTGACGACATATATGTGACCAATTTTTTTCTATCACTTGAAGCTCTCACTCAGGTAATATGAATGGTCACATTGTCCAAATAGAGACATTTTTCTGCAAGTAGCACAGATGCGCCCTTCTGCCCTACAAAACTGGGTCAATATGACCCACACAAAAGCATTGCTATTTGGACAATGACCCTGTCACTCCTCTGAGTGTACGGTTATGTGCTACGCTATGGGCGAAAGTTACAAGTGACCGCCACTAATTTGGTAACATTTTCACTCCTTCATATAATTCGTAAGATATGCATTGGATTATTCGCAATAAATGTCTTCCAGTTACGAATAATAAGAAATATATCGTTGGATAATTCATATAAACTTGTATTAGTATAGGATTAAGTATCAACAACACATTTGTATTAGACTCAGAAATGTTTCACAGATATTCATCTACTATTAAATTCATTCTGATTAAATAAATATACTATTTTAATTATGACTTTCATTTATCATTCCCGGTGGTTACAGTTCAGCGTGCCAAGATTGGAGCAGTGAGTTGCGGGTTCGATCCCTGCTACCTGCGGCAGTTTCTGGTCAGAATCGGGTTAAGCCAGGCGGTTAGGCAAAGCAAAATTGAAGCAGTGAGTTGCGCGTTCGAGACCGTAACAAGCAGTGAATGTTCTATGACTGATAATTGACGACAGGTCTAACGGTCTAATCAACGCTGACGCCGCTATACTATATATACTGCGCTTTAAAGATTACCTAACCATTTAACCAGAGCTGGGCAACGCTACTTTGAAATGTAGCGGCCGCAACCGCTACCGCTACATGCTCTAAATGTAGCGGGCGCTACCGCTACCGCTACAATTGCTTAAATGTAGCACCGCTACCGCTTCCGCTACTGAAAATGTAGCGGCCCCTAATATAGCTGCCGCTACAAGTAGCGCGCTACTGCCCACCTCTACATTCAACTACATATTAACAAGCGCAATTGAATTTAACTAGCGGGTAGATTGTTAGGGCATCCGGTATAGGATTATGAGCTGATACATTCATAGTTATTAAGTCGTGATCAAAATTATACTGTTTAGCGAAGCTTGCCGGGGTTCGAACCAACAACTCGCTATACTCCCATCTCAGTCTGCCGCGTACAGGGGCGAGCTCCGCCGGGACCTCGTTGACGAAGCAGTGTAGCTGAACTATAAAAAAATTGCAAAATTTATACATAAATAAACAATAAATACGTAAACTTCAAAATACATTGTAAGTAATAACGCTGGGTGAGGATGGAGCAAAACAGACATCTTAGGCCCGTAGATTCATTCAAATAAATAAACTTTAGAGTTCGGGTCACGACTTAGGTCTCTTTCGTCTATTATTGCTGGAGAAGTCGTTTTCTTGAAAGCAGTGGATCACTTCAAACTGTCGGTCTTAATGGTATATAAATACATATACTTTGCAAGCACGGCAGTTTCTCTTCACAATTGGTATATTGATCAATGCACCACACCACCATATGGTCTGTCTATATTGGGACAGACCATAGCAACTCACTGCTAACTTGGTAGGAAAAAGTTCGTTTGTCTCTTCCAATTTTCACAAATTACAAAAATTATTCTGTTATAAAAATTCACATACGTCTCCTAATTGATGAGTGGCGTCATGACATGCGTCTCTGCGTTTCAACCCCATCACCTTGATGAGTGGCATGCTCCGGTGGGGCACTCACCGTGATGAGTGGCATGCCAATTGGAGACATTACCGAGGCCTCGTTGATTAGATTTATCGCTTCCAGCGCTCTTCCACTGAAGATAATTTAAACTTTCCACCGAAGCACTAAGATGTAGGAAGATATATATTAAGTGCAAGATATATATTTAGTCTGATGTTTATAATACTGACAGTTATGGAGAAATCCTTACCGAAATAGGTTACGTCATCTTCAAGCCGTCAAGAAGCTTACGTTAGATTACTTGAATTTTAGCAAGTACGAATCCCTCGATTATCATCTATTGCATAGTAAAATAAAGTAATAAAGTATCGGAAAACGCTGTTACCGTCCACATGCGCTAATTTTTCCACACAGTTCATCAGTATTATATTATTTATTTATTTCTTGACGAACGCCGCATTAGCACCTGTTTGGGGGCGGCTCGTGAGTTGTTGCATATGACTTTTGTGTTATATACCAAGTAAAATTAAATTAGAACGAGATTATAGTTATACCAAACTTTTTTCACGCAACAACGATACTAAGTGTAGTGTGCGAATTGAAGCCGTGCGTATACACTCCTGTAACTCGTCTGTTGTGTTAGCAGTGTATCCGCACGCAAATTCCACAGTTCTTTAGAAGATACTAAACTCACATGGAATTTTTGGATCGCATATAGCTGTTAAATTCGCGAACGAAATCGAAAATATTAAAAATATAAATATACGTTTAAAAATTACTTTTTAAAGACAACACTTCTAAAGAATCGAGTGTTCCCAATGTTACAGATGTACAATGAATTTCTAATTTTATTTACGAATATTAAAAAAAGTAATTTTTCAATTTATTTTAATATATAATTTTTTCTGTCAATTGATTCATGCATTGCCTCCGACTTCACACAAGTGTGCAAAATTTCAGGTCAATTGGACAGGTAAAAGTGTGTTAAATATCAGTTATAAGATTTGTAGCTGACAAAATAATTTTTTCAATTATTTTAATATTAAAAAAAAATAATAATTTTTGAAATCATTTATTTTGTCATTAGATTCTTGCATTGCCTCCAATTTTACGCAAGTGGGCAAAATTTCAGATCGATAGGATAAGTAGAAGTGTGTTAAATTTCGATTATAGATTTGTAGCGGACAGCGCAGACAGACAGACAGACAAACAAGAAATGGAGTTAAAGAGAAGTGTTGTAAAACTAAGACTCATCCTTAGTTCATATGAATGGGAGATTTAACAAAAAATGAATGTATACTCATTTATAAAAGCTTCTTAAATGCCAAAGTTTTTAATTGAGCGATCGATCATATGGAATGATGTTTCAAGTTTCTTCTAGAGGATATGAAGCACGAAAGAAAGAAAATGCAATTTGGCTTCTAATTTCGCCACCCCATAGTTAATGGTATTCTTAGTCAAGACTTATTTCATCATATTCAGTTGGATAGTAAAGGCAATCTGGCCAATTTTATTGGCAGATGGATTAGGAGCCTTCCTCCCAGTTCTTGCGAAAATCTATAGGCTATGAAGCACTTGTCGGCATAATTTCAATGTGTTTAATACGCGAGTACGATTACCTTGTAAATATTAATGGATTTACCTTAACATTTATGATGCGTTCATATCATTATAATTTTATGATTGAGTGGAACATGCAGAATTTTCTACAAGCAATTTTCTGTGCGACTTAATTGAAGCTCAACGGTATAGCCAAGGTAAAGTAACTTGACATATATATTCAAACATAATGCATCTACTTAAAGTGACTCGGTGTTTCAATTTAAAATGTTTTTCCAGAGGTGAAGATTCAAAGATCAATTTGTATTTCATGATTCTGTGAACGCTATAACCCTTATAGTTTTATTTTATAATCCTAATTCAAGATTTATGATGTTTTCAGTATTTCGATATTTGAAGATATGAATATGAATGAGCATGAGATGAGGAATCTGAAATCATAACCAACCACTGATTGCGCTGATGACGTATGAATTTAATGATTTATAATTTTGTTTGATATAACACCTAGAGACGTAGCGTTAAATACTTAAATGCCACAAGGTGTTTTCAAGATTCCCAGATGGGACTTCTTCCAAATTGCATTGGAGATAGACTTGTTCTTTTCTTCTAAAAGTGCCATCCTCCGGTATTTTGTGCTGTTGAGTGAAGGAACTGCAGTGTATCTTTTTTTTTTGTTAATCCATTATTTCTACAACTTTTACAGCTTTATTTAAGGTATGAGATACGATTTAGACCGGAGATTATGAACAAGATCTTTTCTTGATTTTGTGTCCATACGATCGCGGATGATCTTCTAGAAAGAGAGGAGGTGTCCGGTGTCAATCAGACGTCTAATTATAATTGTATTCATTATAATTGAGTCGTAATATTCACTAGAAGTGATAAAGATTGATGGAAAAGTACTAGACCTGAGTCAGCATGGACATCACGTTATAGATCACGCGACCAAGACCTCAGTAGTGGGTGGAAGCCGTGGGTCTATAAAAATGTATAAAAAAAATTTTTAAAGACCACGTTTTTCATGTGGACTATATAGTAGAAAATAATTTTTCGGCAGCTACTGATCTCTGTTTGCTTTCATTCTCTTGGTCTTTTGTATTTCAGTTAAAATATTTTACAACATCTAAAACGAAAAACGTGGGGCGCATATGTATTTAATTGTTTGGTGATTACTTGATAAGATGAATATGATGGTTCATTGAACATTTGATAAGTGTATTGCTGATATATCTGATTTGAGCAAATTTTGTTATTTACTGTTGGTATATTGATTTATCATGTTTCATCCAATATAGGTAGTTTGAAATGTATAGGTAATTCAAGCAAGTAAAGATATGAATCATGAATAGCGCAAGGTCAGGGTATGTGAAAATTTTAAAAGAATCAAATTTTGAGAATTTTAAATGAACGCGTGTACTATATCTAATCAATTTAAGAGGCATATTAAGACATTTAACATAACATAACATAACATAGTGATGTCGGCTCTGAAGTGTAGGCCTGATGTGGCCTGTCGCCGATTCTTGTCCATTTCGTGCCTTGTTCATAGATCTAGAGTATGACAAGTGTGTCCTGAGAGTATGACGAGTGTGTCCTGTCAGTATGACAAGTGTGTCTTGAGAGTATGAAAAAATTTGACCGAAGCCCATGGTCATACCAGGCTTGCAGGTTGCCCAGAGGCTGCACATAAAGCAGCGCCTCGTGCAGTGGAAATTAGCGGCTGATTTACGTACACCCCGAGTCCTGGGCGGCGCTTGATGCTGAATCGGACCCTCAACCAAATATTTTTAGGATAATAATGGTTAGTATTAGGAAGTTTTAGTGGACGCCGCTATTGTCCCCGTGCATAAGCACCTTCCGAGTTGAATCTACCAATATCTACCCTAATCAATTTCTACCCTAATCAATTTCTACCCTAATCAATTTCTACCCTAATCAATCTCTACCCTCATCAATCTCTACCCTCATGTGAATGTATCCTCTTATCTAAAATCTCTTGTTTTTGTCGCCATGCTAGTTAAAAACCAGCAACACACGAGCGTCCCACAAATAAACCGCGGTCGCTAACTACAGGAACTGGCACGTGTCGTTTAACTAATAAGATTAAAAACCAAATCTCTTTAAAATCGCTAAGACTCTAATCAGTCGCTAAATCTCAATCAGTAGCTAAATTTTTAATTAGATTCTAAATCTCTAATCAATCTTTAAATCTCTAATCAATCTCTATATATATTCCATCAGTCGTTAAATCACTAATCAGTCGCTACTTTTCTAATCAGTATTTAAATTTCTAAACAATGTTTGCTTCGCACCAAACATGAATACAGCGGCAGAAAATTGCATTTAGAAGACTTTTATTATACATTGAATGAATATTGTAATGTATTGTAATATAATATTGTATTGTAATATAATGCAATACGAGAGTAACGGCACAAATAAATACTCTTCAAGCCAATAAACACAAGAATTAGTAAGACCAAACTACACCTATTTATGTATGCAATACCCAATTACGCGCCTCCACGCAAATGACGTTAAAACAACGTTAAATAAACGTAATTTCACCGTCAAATGCGTGGTGGGAATTAAGCTTCAATAAATAAGGCGGCACCCACCATAGCCCTGGCCCTGCAGTAACAGCAGCAGCGCCTCTATCACCTTGCCGGGCTGTTCCTCCAGCACCAGCCCGCAGTCCTGGATCTGTGGTGCACATCATAGCACATACATCACTGCACATTGTACAGACGTCATAGTATACAGTAAACACGCCATATTACACAACACACACACATCATAATACATGTTACATGCAGTACAAACATCATGGTACACAAAGAGAAACTTTACGATAATGCATACACAAACATTGTACAATCACATATATATAAGTATTCTTAGCATGTGTTTGGGGCGTAGCAGTCCCAGGTCACGCTAGAGCGCCGCTCTCAGCCCCGGCAGGCAACTCGTCCTCGCCGCCAATTAAGGACACAAACATCCTACATCCTCTCACACATCAACCTGTACCTTCATCACCCTGAAACACTTATGACCAAGCCGTCACATAAATCCCTTCATCTCTTTCCTTCCATTACATCATAGTCTCCCCCCCCTTCCCCTACCTTCACACCTCGCCCACATCCCATGTCTTCCCTCACCCCTCATTTTCCCCTACCCTCACCCCCACCTTCATCCAGGAGCAGCAGGCGGGGTCGAGCCTGGCGTTGAGGGCGACGGTGTCGTCCACGTGAGGGCTGTAGTTGCTGGTGATGTTCAGGACGTTGCAGCGCACCATACGAGCCTCCTGAAGGGGCAAGGGCTTTATTGGGGTACTACCCTAGCAAAATTTTGAGGCATGAACGACCCTGCATAAGGGCCGGCTAGGACTCTGGGAAGTACGTCAATCAGCTTATCGGTGTCTGCTTCGGCTCAGGGTTCGAAGGGTACGCAGCCTCTGGGCTAGCTCGGCATGACTCGGCTCGGCCTACCCTTCTCAAACTCTCAGGCGCCTATAAAGTCCGAAGTTCTGACACAAAATGATTTCGATCAAGTGGCCACGCAGGCCCAGAATAACTTTGCGCCAAGTGTAGTGACTATTCGGCCGAAGTCTAGGCGGCCGAAGCCTAGGCGGCCGAAGCCTAGGGGAACTGGGGGTTAGAGAACTGATCAGAAGAAAAGATACTTAAAACTGTACGAAGAGCATCACTCCACTTAACAAAAGGCTCTCTTCACAGAAAGCATGAAAGGCATTATCAAATGACCATATCTCAATTACCAAAGGGCGGGCTCCCCAGTTTCACAGCGGGCGTCACCCAGCACTTCAAAAAGGGTGCCACATCCACTCCACGCAGGCACCAATCCAGAATGATCACTCCCCCACCCACAAAGTGCGCCCCATACCGAAAGCGGGCCAAACCTCAGGCAGACAACCGTGCCTTTCCGCCTGATTCTCTCCTGCCACTTCTTGCGAAAAACCGCCCTCTCTAAGGGGGTGGAATCTTTCTTTACAAAAACTGACTTATAATCAGCGGATTCACCAAGCTTTCTCGCTGTTTTCAGCACGCTCCAGACCTGAGCAGAATCCTTTACAGTCACCAGAAGAGGTCTGAAGGTGTTGCCCGCAGTATCCTTCGAGCGTAGCCTCTTGCAAGATATAACATCAATCGATGTGTTGAGTACCTTGCTGCAACAGTCTACAACAAAGGCCGAGTCATCCATCACTCGGTCCTTCGCATCAGATGCGTTACTTTCAGGAATCCCAAACCAGACCAGGTTGGCCTTCCTACGTTCTCTATCAAGCAATTCACGTGAGCTGTCATTTGCGACTTCTGATAAATCAGCTGTCTTGTTCTTCGAAAAGAAAATGCATTAAGTATCTAAATAGTTCACCATTAAATAGCTCACTATCAAATCAAAGGTATATGGAGTAACGAATAGTGAAATTCGAAATAGTGGTTGAATTCAAAATTGAAATAAAGGCATGCCTAAATGAAGATGCGCCCCACGTTTTTCGTTTTAGATATTGTAAAATATTTTAACTGAAATACAAAAGACCAAGAGAATGAAAGCAAACAGAGATCAGTAGCTGCCGAAAATTTATTTTCTACTTTTTAGTCCACATGAAAAATATGGTCTTTAGAATTTTTTTTATACATTTGATTTTCTACTTTTTAGTTTTATGTTAGTTTGTATGCTTGTGCTGATCAAATCTTGCAATCGAAATTTCAATTTCCTTTTTATAAAGAATAAGAACAACATTACTTTTCTAAGTACTTATAAATTTAGCTTATGGTTTATTTATTTCAACGGTTCAAACAAATATTTATAAAGTCCATACAGTATAGTCGTTTCACTCCACTACCACTACACTTTGATACAGTTGTTAGTTCTGAAAATCGCCGCTTTAGGGGGAATGGCGCTGCGATCGATTAAAGGAAAACAAATTTCCACTTCGAAAATTAATTTATTTATAATAGTAATAAATACGCCTGGAAACGTGCAACAAATTATTGATTATTGTATTGTCATCGGGAGCTGAGCTTCCCTAAAAGTTTCAGAGCGCTAGCTAGCGGGAAAGTTGGTGGAATATCGATTGCAAGATTTGATCATCACAAACAGACAGACGGACACGGAAGAGAGCTAAGAAAAACGTAGTAAAAAGGGCTGGGAACCTTAGTAAGGCCTCAGAAGCGGACGAGTACGTACGCCGCGATGCAACTCGCGTTGGAGCTGCTCCGACCTAACGGTCGACTTCTTGGCTTTATCTGTATCGTATCACTCATGTATTACGACCCCGTATCAAGAGAAGTTCTCTAGACAGTCACTTAGTCATCCCTCAAGAACTTAGTCAACGAATCCCGGTCCTCAGGTGGCGCTTAATATTGCGCCTGACAAAGTTTAACGGGTTGAAGGTAGAAGGTAATGGGTGTAGGCAAAGGTTAAGAGTAAGCATAAAGGGTTGGGTAAAAGGTTAAGAGTAAAGTATAAATGGTTGGGGTGAAGGGTTAAGTGTAACTGTGTAAGGTATTAAGGATTGGAGGTTGAAAGGATGGAGATAAAGGGTTAAGTGTAAAATAAAAAGCGTTGGAGGTAGAAGGTAAAGGGGTAAGTCTAAAGTATAAAGGGTTTGAAGTGGAAGGTAAAGGTTTGGAGATGGAAGGTATAGGGTGGAGGTAAGGGGTTGCGGGTAGTGCATAAGAAATAAAGGATAGAATGTAGAAGAGTAGATATAAGAGGTTAGAGAGATGAAGTTAAGTAAGAAGATCTCTCGCGTGACATGTCAGGTGACATATCAGGTGACATGTCAGGTGACATGTCAGGTGACATGTCAGGTGACATATCAGGTGACATGTCAGGTGACATATCAGGTGACATATCAGGTGACATATCAGGTGACATATCAGGTGACATATTCTACACTTGCATTGTTTGCATGTTTTTAATTCAAAGCGAATAATTGACAATACAAAACGCAAGTTGGCAGAAAACCTACAGGAATTAAATAGATTAAACAAAAATTCCTACATGAAATGAAGCATGGCTAACCCAAACCATCAACTCACATTACAATTCCACTCTAATTAATCTAAACATTATCCGGAAGTTGAATAATTCAAATTTGAATCTAGTCCCCCATCCCCATAAAGTGAGGTTAATATATCAAATCTTGAGAATTCGTTATATATTTGATAATTATATATATATATATGTGATTATATTTATTCATTTTATATATTCGTTACAATTTTTGTAGAGAAACACGATAATTTTTAAAGTTAAATGGATATACATAGAGCAGCGAGAGCTTCTTTTATTTTAACGTAATTATCCTAAACTTACAATAGTTAAAGTAACTTTTTGTTATATAATTAAATTATCTTATTGAAAACTTAATGCCCAAACTTGACACAACTCTGGTGATTTTACACTCAGAGAGATGAGGGAGTTTTCGTCCAAATTTTGACGCTCTTTTTGCATTTATGTGGGTCATCCTGAAACAACTTGGCCCGGCTAATGGGCGAACCAGTGCTCTGCGCCTGCTGGGTGCTAGTGCTGTGGGCCAGAAAGCGAGTCAAAAATTGGACAATATTACCCATTTATTCTTATGAGTTGACGGTCTACGACAGTCGTAATTAAGTGTCACGGCCTTTCAAAATGTAAACACTCAAAGAATTCAGTAAGAATTTGTCCGATTAGCGATGAACTTTTCACCACAGTGTTGGTCAACTTGACCCAGTTGTGTCCAGCAGATGGGCGTATCATTGCAACACGTTAAAAGTGTGTCGCTATTTGAACAATAGAACCTATCCATTTTTATGAGTGTATAAAGTTGACATTAACTCATTCACTGAAAACGGATTAAAAACCGCCCCATTCACTGAAAACGAAACAAAAAACCGCCCCATTCACTGAAAACGAAACAAAAAAACGCCCCATTCACCGAAAACGAAACAAAAAAACCGCCCCATTCACTGAAAACGAAACAAAAAAACCGCCCCATTCACTGAAAACGAAACAAAAAAACGCCCCATTCACCGAAAACGAAACAAAAAAACCGCCCCATTCACTGAAAACGAAACAAAAAAACCGCCCCATTCACTGAAAACGAAACAAAAAAACGCCCCATTCACCGAAAACGAAACAAAAAAACCGCCCCATTTACTGAAAACTAAACAAAAAAACCGCCCCATTCACTGAAAACGAAACAAAAAACCGCCCCAGTTCACATTGCCGAGCTAAGTGTGTCAGGATGGCTCACCCACACAGGGGCAAGAAAGACAAATCATACATTCATTTATTTGAGTGCTGCAGTGACGTTCCACCACAGCAGGTATCCGCAATTGCTAAATAATATATAATTACCTAAAAATATTAAGGTAAATAATTTATTACTTAGTATTGCTCAAGAAATGCTTAAGTAATCACAACATACAAAACACGCATCACCCACAAAATTGAATGAGTCATTTTATTCAAATACTGACACACTTACACAAATACTACTGACACATACATCACAAATTGGACAATCTCGCCTCATTTTCTGGGAGCGCGCAGCAGGTTTCAAGAAACAGCGTTTTTTTTCGACAAGATTTAAAAATTTTTAATTTAAAACATCAATAATGTAAAGATATTAAATCTATAATACGATTAAACACGTACAGGCTTCGTTATAGATATATTAACACAACAGTGTTTAAAGACGAACAGACCTTGCTAATTACACATATAAACACACAGCTTCTGTATGGAAACACGAGAATTAATTAAGTAGTTGCGTCTTGTGTATTGTTGGAACTCATGACGTCACGGTTACACTCAGATAAATGAGCGAGACTTTGTCCTAATTGCAATGCACTTTCTGTCCTTGTGCGGGTCATCCTGCATGACACAGTTTGCTTTGCACGGCAAAAGACTATATATACGTCAGCTCCCTGCTCGGGCTGCGGGTAAGAACGTGTGTGACTAATCGGACAATGTCGCACATTAATTTTTCTTAGTGATAGAAGCAATCCATCAGACATCGGACGTTGAATTAATCGTTGTGTAATTGAAACAACGTTCATTAAACGTTTTTACAACGTTTTTCCGACGTCTTTGGTTTATTGTAAAGGTTTCTGCAATGCACAAGCTGAGACTGTCACCTCTTAACCCTTTAAGGACCCCTTAACCCTTTACCAATTAGGGACCTTTTGTATCGTGAACAAAATTAGAATATCACATTATATCCCTACAACATTGCTGATATTCATTGAAGAATATGATAAGCGATATATATCTTCACCTGGTCTTAGCGCAGA